CAAACAATGAAATCTGCCAGTTCTGTCCTGACAAATCTGGCAAGACGGATTGGAAGCCAGTCAATATCAGAATATTGAGACGGAAAACTCGACGATGGATGTTCATGTGCCAGTGCCAGCTGTTTCATCACATCGTAATCATCACCCCACACTCCCATCACAATCCCACGAAATGGGTGAAGCACCTACAACGCTTTCAGGGAGTTCACAAGGACCACAAAGCCTGAACCAGATCTACCGGACACTTGGCAGATGGTTCAAGTATGCCACACAATCCACATGTTCCACACCTAGGAGCTCGATCCACTAACAGATACACAGTCCTGCATGAAAGCCTCCAAAGTTGCAAGCACAGAAGCCAACGGACATCACACCACACATGACGATACATGTGCATGCGGACTAGACTGAGTGCCACAATATCGAAATGTGCACATGTCTGTGTAAGAGAGAGAGAGAGAGAGAGAGAGAGAGAGAGAGAGAGACGGGGGGGAGGGGGTAGACAGGGAGGTTCATTCCAAAACAATCAACAAAAAGGTTGCACGTAATAGGCTAACCAAAAGAAGGTTCAGCTCAAGATCCATGTCTGAGCCGGTTTCAACGACAAGTCCCTGTATCGTGGGAAATCAATTACCACTGATCCGCAAATCGTCTACCCAGCACAACTATTGATGATGCAGAGTTCGAATACCGCTGGTATCAAATATGCCGAATGACTCAGAGTTGCCTAAGCGCGGGCAGTTCAGTAAGGACATTTTCTACGTAATATGAGAAGAGCCATGTTGAACCACAAGTACTTCCTCAGGTCATCCCCGTTAACGCGCCATGATTTTAGGAAACATACGGCATGATTTTAGGAAACATACGGGCCACTACAGGAGGGCCCAAATTCATCCAACTAGAAACGTTTCTACTCTTCTTTTTTCCGCAGCCTACAGCTGAGGCAAGTACTGGTGGATTAACAACTTGTTAACACGTAGAGCAGCACGTCAATGTTAATAGTCGTACACAAGATCATTACAAGGCTTGCAGACCAGAAAAGCAAAGTCAGGCGAAGACCAGCTCGACCCCACGCACAGTGTGGAATAAACACAGCTCCTCCAAACGCACATGCAAGGGAGGGATCATATACACAGCCAAGAAGCCAAAAGGAATTCCCTTGCACACACCATAACATGAGATGGTTTCAGAAAGTACACACGCACACAGCCAATTGTGACATGCAGCCAGCCAAAGAGCCAACAGAGAACACAAGAAAACAGGTGTGCAACAAAACAACTCACCACAAGAGGAGAAAATCAGTTTTCTACTGCAGACAACTGAAGAAAGAATAATCATTTGGAGACATTATTCAGCAGAGCAATTTCCAACTGAACAGCTGAAATTCATGCTTGCCATTGGGTTGACGCTCAGAGCCCCAAGTGGAGAGGAGAGAATACCCTGACAATTTCACAACCAAATTAAACCACGAGTACCTCCTAAAAGTGCTCCGCGTTAATGGCCAGCCAAAAGTGGCGATCGCACTGTTTCCACTTGGCTGAAATCGGCCTACCGGCCCAGGCCCTTTCATCCCAAAAGTCACGCCCGTTTACGGGGAACACTCTGAGGTACTGGTGGTTTAACTACTTTGAATGCAGCATGAAAGCCGACTACAATAGTACACTCGACGACAGACCAGAAACGGATAGATCAAGAGAACGCACACTTAAATTGCAAATCCCATTTTTCATTGCACCAAAAAAAATAGAGTCAGGCATCTTGCGGTCCCGTACATCACAAGTTCGGGACCTCGCGAATGCCCCCTTTTGTACACAACCACAACTTGTGTGACAAGGGGACCCGTACTGGTGCTCTTTCTTTCTCTCTGTTATGGAGAACACAAACCTAAGGCATACCCATTTCAGGACTACCTTCAGTGACACCGGACGACATTAGGATAGTATACATTTCACATTGGGAAGAAAAACAAAAAAAATATATAAGTGTGAGTATACCATTAGAAGTTAGAACAGAATCGAAGGAACATAACATTTGTTCTTGACAGCTAATATAGAAAATGCTCCCCAATTATTAATCATTTCTCACTCACAGGATTGTACAAGCGGAAAAAAATAGACACACAAGAGGCCAACGGACACAAGAACACATACAGCCTGAAAGCTCTCTCAGTTCTGCATTTTCAAAACAAGACATCGTTTACAGATTCGCCCTACTACAAAACAACCTACAAACACACAAGCCAGCCTATCCAAAAGCATGCCCCACTGCCGATAGCTGGATGTACTCGTGCTTTACCGAGGATGTGTGGTCCCAGGGCGTCTGCAGAATTATTCTGCTGCCTCTCCATACTCCCCCACTGCTGGAGAGAGACCACAAGTACACGCATTTGGCAATGATATAGCATTGGGCTGTAGCTTGCTCTGTCCATGGTGTGCACATTTGAGGTCTGAGTTTTTGTCATTTATGTACCCCCCACCTCAGTTTCATTTGATACCCAGGACTGCAGCAGACTGTACACATCATACCTGGGAGTGACCTTGGCTATTGCTCTTCCAGAATTTATTTACTGTATTTATTTACTGTATTTACTTACTAGTGTTTTTCCCCTTCCAGAATTAGAGACAGTCAGGCACGCTTATGATGTACAGCTCTTTCTCTTTCTTTCAAAAAGCTTAAGGCACCTTTCCTGAGGTAGCCGTTTTCCGGTTATATGAACTTGTATCTTTATATGGCCAATGTATCTTTACATGGCCAAACCCACCACCTTGCTGAGCAACACAGAGGTGCCATGTGGTGCGTTCCCAAAATCCCCACCTTAATCATCAACAAAGGGGTGCCATGTGGTGCATACTCGGTCTGTGCTGTGTCAGGTTTTATAATATTTTATGTGCGTTCTCGTCTGGGGTGCATGCATGCATGCGTGCGAATGGCGGTGTACTGCTGGCAAGAAACATACATCAAGGACGGCCACTGCTGTTGGCATCATCGCATGTTCCGAGATTCAATTTTCTTGAGCTTATCTTGGAACATTCTTTGCCAATGTATCGACGACGCACCTGCATAGGCAACGAGCTTCTTTTCAGCAAAGCCGGGGCCGTGTACTAGCGGTTTAAGACAATCAAGACAAATACAGTGGAAACCGAAGTCAAGTACCTCCTACGACGGATTGCATGGCCTGTGGGCATGACCTCCGTGAAGAAGAGAAAGAAGAAGCATGCACGCAAGAATCTAGGCTGTTTCTTCTGGAACCGGAACCGGGCACAAATTTTGTGCTCAGACACACGCCCAGTCACCCGGCCAAGCAGAACCCCTGAGCGTCCTAAGCACATAAAAATATATATATATATTTTTTCTAATTGAAAAATTATGGACAAACACTTTGTGCAGAAATGCACAGCGAACAACTTTGGACAGAGGGACCCCAGGACTCCTTACAGAATCGAACATCATAACAAAGATTAAAAATCAAACTAATGCACCCCACTTTACAACCCTGTAGACCCTTCGAGCCCCAAATATACCACCCTTCCTTTCCCCCTCAACGGGCAACACTGGAAAAGAGAAAAGAGCCCAGTTTTGGGCTACTTTCGGTGGGCGCAGAAGAGCCCAACCGGAAAAGAGAGGAGGGGGTGGAAGCCAAATTTCCATAGTTTCTACATGCCCGGGGGGTACCAGTGCAGGCGACTGGCCAGGCGGTTTCCAGGGCCTTGCACGGCCGTGCAGGTGGCCTGGTAGCCTAGGCCACAATCGCTCGGCCTAAGCGCTTGACACAAGCGCAGGAAGGAAGCTCTGAGAGCCGTAAAATTTCGGACAAAAAGGGGGACCGTCATGTCCCACCCAACGGTACACAATCACAAATAAAACATCTTACCACCGTAGCGTACAGGACAGACAAACGACACAAAACAAAATCGCACCACTGTGATTACGTATGCATATTACACAGACTATAACCAACTACAACTGTGAAGCCCGTCTTTCGAACGTCCCTCAACACCTTGCACGTGCAATTTAACATTACTCCTGAGTACTTGCAGAGGACAAGGGTTATTAGGTGAGCCAGGGAGGAACGGACAGTAGTAACCCAATCACCAATCCTGTCCACAACAGCCTCTATCGGAATCGGCAACAACACCTGATACAATGCATGGAAGGAAACTAGATACAAGCATATACGATATATATAGAACTGCCCCGTGAGCCATAGGCAGAGAGGGAGAAAAGAGGACAACAAACGAGGGGCTGTGACGGACAATTTCGTCGGAGTTTCATCGAGTCATCAGGATAAGTAGATATACATATATCGTAAGTACATACTACACGCATATAGTTAAAGAGATCTACCCGGTGAGCCGTAGGCACGGAGATAGCTATTTTTCAAATAGCCTGGGACACTATACATTACTTATTTTGTTCCCATGTCCACCGATCGATCTACCTTCGACTACAAGGTGGAAAATGACAGACGGAGCGGAGCCCACCAGCATAGTTGGCGAATGAAGAGAGAGGGAGCTGCCAGGGAGCGGTCAGCATATGATACAGTGATAGCTCTACGACCTAATGAAGCCCACTCCCCTACTTCCCCCCCCCCCCCCCCCCCCCCCCCCCCCTTGCACAACGCTCTTCGGTAAACAAATATCGATAAAAGTACGGCTGGCATAAGACACCTAGGCATAACCTGCGTCTCTTCAGTAGAGCGAAATGGACAGCATACGCAGCCCGCTAAGAGTATCACCTACACGGAGCAGAAAGAGAAGAAACGGCGGATAAGACCAAGCAGCCAAGACAAGAGATAAGAGTAGGTCACGTTGAACATCCGACCTAAAAGGACGGTCTCAACGAAAACAAAAACACTCGATAAAGAGAAAGAACAATGATCACCCATTACGAAAAGGCGAACTAAGGATCCGAAACCAGCAAAAGACAACCATTGAACAATCGAGACGACACGGAGGAACCAAGATCAGGTATCGGAGGCAACAAGGAGGAAAAATTCGCTACGACAGCCCCACCGTTTACTCCCGAACACAAGGCATTATCATCATCATCATGAGCTCAACGTACCTAAGAGGGCTTGTATACAGTCACGATAAGGGTAGGTTGTGTTCGGTGTACAGTCATGATAACAGTAGGTTGCTGTCGGGGAAAGTCGGGGTCCAAACCGGAGCTTAAGGCATTCTTTTCCTTCTGCGTTCTCACCATCTCACCCAGCGTCTACCGGGGACGAGCTGCCGCCGTTTTCTTTACCTTCGGTCATACGTGAATAAATATTACCTGCCGTCATAGATGAATAAACATTACCTTGGGTCATAGATGAATAAATATTACCTTCGGTCATAAATGAATAAATATTACCTTCGGCCATAGATGAATACATATAAATACAAGAATTTCGATTCATTCGATCTCTCTGCGCGCTCAACATGGGGTATCTAGGCGCGCTCAACATGAGTAACTGCGCGGGCATTTACTCCCTGTGCCCAAAAGGGCGACTGAACAGCGTTGGTACCTGCGACTACTCACGACTACTAAGTCGGGACTGTCACCCCGCCCAAACCGGCGAAGTCTGTTTTCACTGCCTAGGAGAGAGGAGGACGTGCGAAGGACTAATCTAAAAGAACTTCTGTTCCGAGATATCGACGGACGCAAGCAATCCATCAGACAAAGACGAGAAACACTTTGGCATCGGCGGAAGAAAAGAATCGTGGCGATTAGCAACGGAGAGCCGCGACGGTATCAAGAGAAGAAATGAACACATCCCAAAACTGCGAGAAACATACTGACATCTGCGACAAGAAAAGCGTCGAGGAGATCAATAACGGCGCGCGGTGGTCATAGCCGTGCAAAGCAAAACCCCACACGAGTGATCTGGCATCTCACGACACCGACAACGCGGGACGGATGACTAGCGAAGCGGAGGAGAGGAGCAACAACGTCACCCATGTCTACGACAATGACTCAAAATACACCGCTCGTCACGATCATGCATGCATCTAGTCCGGAAAGGGCGTAATCTGCGCAAAACGATGTAACAAAGGAGAGAAGAGCTGACTCCAGCAGAGCAGAAGGGATTTAGCGTTCAGGAGGATGGAGAGAAGAAGTCGTGCGCGATCAGTCACGACGAACGTTAAGCGGGGAAAACTAACAGAGCATCATCCCATCGACAAAAACAAGAAAGCATTTCGCACAGTGCCCTCTTGTCCAACCAAGACCAGAGGATACAAAATCCATCCATCCAATTGGTCCGAGGACATCATTCATTGCATGCAGAAAAGGTATCGTTTCCTTCTTCCGTCCAGAATAAGAAGCACGACGGACAAGCCGTCGCTCGAATAGGGCGACGCAATTCTCCCCACGTCGATCAAAACACAATCATTTTATCAAAAACTCTTTGGTCTTTTTCAATTTACAAGCAGAAGACGAAGATTAGCACCGTCGCTCCAATAGGGCGAGTTTCACTTTACAAGCAGAAGACGAAGATTAGCACCGTCGCTCAAATAGGGCGACGCAATTTGTCACACATCGATTAGACCAGTCATTTTGTCAACTCGCCTCCCGTCTTTCGCTTTAGAAGCAGATGAGCAACGACGTTCCGTGTTACGCAGGAAAGCGAAGCGACGTAGGAAGCGACGTAGGCCCGTCCATCCACACCCCGTCGCCCTTTGCAGACGAGCGACCACGACCTCTTTGTAGTTTGGGCGGGCGAACGGCACGGACAACATGGCGCCGTTGTTCGACGCAGGCGCGCAGCGACCGAACATAGCATTCGACGTGCGTGAAATCCTAATTCAAATATCACACCAGTTATCTCGGCCGGCTGTGATAAAGTCGAAGAAGCTCACGGCAATAACAAGAGGAACAAAAGACGAATACGTGTGCGAACCACGACGACAGATGAAGAATAATTAGAAGAAGACGGACGAGACGAGCAGGCCACGAAGCGCGACGAAGGCAGAAAAAAGCGGTGGTGATTATTTCGGCCGAGCAGAGCATCAGACGACGGAGAACAGCACAAGCAGCTGGGGCAAGTGGTAACCTCGACCGATGCTCAGCCGCGAAAAGGTAGATAGATGTGCGCACCTCCTCAGGCGGAAAGCAGGCAAACAAGCAAAACCCAGCCACGAGGAAGAGGCGATTCTCCCTCCCCCCATCAGCTCCTTCTGGTCCCCGTGCTCTGCCCTCCTCCTAATCCCTCCACCTAACCTCAGACCGAAGATAACACGTCGGGCATTGACCCCAGTGCTCTTTATGTTTTCCCCATCCCTCCACCTCCCCTCATTTTCCACTCTGTCGCCCGTCCACCGTCGCCTACATCCTCTATGGCCCCTCTGTCCCCGCGCCCCTTCCGCACCCTCCGCCGCTTGCTAACCCCCCCCCCCCCAACCCTTCTTGAACCAAGTAGAGGAAATGCAGACAAGTTCAGCCGATATTTCGACCAGGAACATAACCAACGCTGACAACATCAACGAAAAACGCACCGGTCTGGAGTTTTCAAGGTGTGTGCGAAACGGAGGAGGTCCCGCGAAGTCGGTCGCAGGCAGACGTCGCGCGCACCTCTTTAGCCCATTCCGAAATCGCATCGATGAGACACGCAAAATAATTCGAATCAACTGATGATGACGATAATGATGATGATGAATACAGGGCAAAAGGGACAACGTTAGCCCTTTAGAGCTGCTCCTGGGAAGAGAGGAGCCGCAGACCGTGAAGAAAGTGGTGTAGATCGCTGCTGGTCCTTCCCTTTCCATATCCAAACTAACAACCATCACCATCATCATCAAAGAAGACGACGAACGAAGAGCAGACGACCAGCGGTCGAAAATGTAGAAGACGACGACGAGGAAGAAGAAGACGACTGGGAAGTAACAACGAAGCTGGGCCGTGCCGATTAGCAGAGGACGACGACGTTATTTCTCTTTCTCTCGAGTTATACAGTGGGAGGGTGTCACACAAACAAAGAGAAGCGAGCGACCTAGTGTAAGAATCTCAACGTTTCAACTTCCCAAAACCATCCATCACACAAAAACCAAGCAGTTCAAAAAAGCCCATAACAACGACAACAGTTTGCCAGTGAGCAACCACACCACACATTTTTATTTCCTGGACTTCGACACTTCAGTTTCTCCAAATGAGTAACCACATCCACATTCACTGACGTGCTTTCGAAGGGGGTGAAGATTTACCTCAAACGTGCCATCTCCGAGTGAAGAACACAACATTCAACCACTGCAGCAGGAGAGGAGCAATGCGATGAAACTAGGAACAAAGGGAACATTAAGACCTACCTCAGGAAAGGGAGGGGGGGGGGGGGGGGGGCAATTACGGAAAGATGGAAGACCGGGAGTGTAAGAGCGGAGAGGAGAGGGAGGGAGAGTGAAGCGAGACATGACACGCGGCACGAGAAATGAACCGGCGGGGGGAGAGAGAGACAGACACAGACAGACGGACATGATTGAAACCGAGCAACGATGGGCAAAGCCAGACAAATACACGGTGTAATAAAAAGAAAAAAAAAATGAGCGACTCTCAGAGACAGAGCAAGGAAAAAGAAACGGTCTAGACAAATAGATAGAAGAACGAAATAGCAAAAGCTGAAAAGACCGTCCGGGAAAGTCACTGGCAACAAAAAAAAAAAAGATTACGCGACAAATACAGACAGAATAGGCGCCAAAGCTGGATGAAAGAAACAGAGGAAATGAGAGAAATGGAACGACCCAAACGATAAGCAGCGTGAAATAGCAATATCGGAATAGGCGAGACGGAAACGAAAGGAAGTGGGGACAGCAAGACGCTAAAGGAGACGAAGGGAATACACCAGGCAAACGACAAGTGAGAAACGTTAAAGACAGGGAACGTAAGGGTCGGGGGGAGGGGTCAACCCTTCAGTGGAAACAAACGAGGGAGGAGTACATGGACGAAAAAGATTGTCACCATTTCACTTTTCCACTCCCTCCTCCGCGACAAGAGAAGTTAAAGGCGGGGAACGTAAAGATTATTCGAGAGAACCCTTCAGTGGAAAGAGAGGGAGCAGTAAATGGACAAAAAAAAAGATTGTCAACATTTCACTTCCCCAATATCTCTCCCCGCTCCCGTCCAACAGAAACGCAAACCAGTTCAAGACTTCGGAAATCTCCTTTTAGGAGAAGCGCGTGGTGAAGATTCACAGACCAGCTCGATGCGCGCTTCCTGGCCGCCATAACGTCAAGAATGGCCGTCCGCAAGACCTTTCGGCGAATTGACCTAAGTTCACACTTCGACAAGCACTGGAGCGAAACAGCACTGACAAGAGTAAAAACACGACAGTGGTGTGCTACAAATTGCTTTTCGGAAACAAAGGTCCAAAAGAAAAAGCCATTTAAAAAAAAAAAAAAAGACGTATAAACCAGACAGGTCAACATGCAGAGGCCAATAAAGTGCACGCCTCAGCTGCATAGTCTATCTGTCCTCACAAAATTGAATGAGACAAAAAGCCGAAAAAGAAACAGCGTTGCACCGCCCTCGCCTTCCAAGGTCCACGATCCATTTCACGCACTTTTTCTATGTCACTATCACTACCATCATCATTGTCATCATCACCATCACCACCATTCACAGCCATCTTCATCGGCAGCAGTAGCGGCAGGGGAATGCTCATTAATCATACAAAAACAACAACATCGTCGTATCGCCTTCGTTAGGGGCAAACGGCAAGGGATCGCCAAACATAACACCATTGAAGAAGGAATGAGATATTGATTGGACAGAACAAAGCGTGCCGATCAACCGAGGGGTCCATCCCAGCCGAGGGAAGGAGGGGATATACATACACTTGTATATATGTTGTCACATTATATATATATATATATATATCCACTGCAGAGACAAAGGCACGGGATATATATCTAGCGGAGAGGGCAAGGCAAGGGATTGTCGGACAAGAGACAGACGAGGAAAGGCGGCGCGACTCTCGCGAGTAGGGGCATCAACTCGATTAGGATATAGGACATGGGAAGGACTAAGGGAGATATGACGTGGCATATGCAAGGACAAATAGAGCGTAGGGAGACACGTGAAGAAAAACTAGGGCCAGCTAAGATGTAATGTGCGGGCCGGGTGGGGTGCACGGGGAAGGACAACAGCAGGGGAGAAACGGGAAAAAAAGGGAGAGGGGAGGGTTAAAAAAGGGGGGGGGAGGAGAAGGGGGCAGGGGGAGGAAGAAAGAAAAAAAAACAATGAAAAAAGGTCAAACGATACACGCGCATAGGGGAGGGCTCCCGGTAAAGGAACTTATCACTCCAGCAGAGGGAGGAGGCGACTTCGCATCTTCCTGCTGTGAGGCGGCCGTAGCGGTTAACACCCGATGGCGCTCTATCCTTGACATGATGACATGTGTGCTATTCCCCGAGAATAGTGCAGAGAAGGAATGAATGCATCTCCGCTCCTCCCTCGTCCTCAAACCACCCCTTCCCGTTTTCTTTCCCCATCGTCCCATGCACAATTCCCTATCCCACAAAAAAAAAGCCAGCATTAGATAGAACTATTCCGTAAATCGACATAATTCGACGGGCTGCGCCTCAGGCGAACAAATGTCCATCCATCCATCACGCCATTACTTGAAAAACAACAACGATTGCGCTCCGGAGCTCGATGTCTTAATCTTTGAATTCTCTCCTTCTCTTCTCAATGGCCAAAACGTCCACCTTGGCTTTAGACTATTCTCCGCTCTTCACTGTCTCTAATCCAAACGACTTCTTGGCCTCTGTTCCCACCTTAATGCCGTGACGGTGGACACCATGACAGCAAAACCAACACCCCTACTCGACCAAAACCTCGACCGTGTAGTCTAAATCCCCCCAACCCTTCCTCACCCTTTCTCCGTCGCTGCTACAATCTTGTTCCCCCTTCGCTAAACGACCAGAATTCCGCAGTCTTCACGTCGCAGATTCGCCGCTCCCTCTCTCCCCCTTCTACGCCGCGCAGCTTCGCAGCTCCATTCCAAACGCACATGTATCTGTCGACCCGAGACATAAGCGCTGCCCACTTATGCGCATCTTCCCCCTCCTCCCAATCACACCATTAATCAATGCCGCCGCCGGAGGAACATCCTCTATCTCCATTCTTTGCCCTTTTCTTCTGGATCATCCCTCCCTACTCGTCCTTTTCTTTCCCTCCCGGCCAGCCGCCTCTCTACCTTCTCACGGCCAGCCGCCACGCAATATTGCCGGATAGACGACGTACGTGCAACGAAGTCACCGTTCACGTCTAGTCCATGCCTCTTGCGTCTCATCCAGATGCAACATGAACAACCTGATTGCTAGTAATTATTACACTGGTTAACTGTAGAAAGGAGGCAGAAAGGGAGGAGGACAGAGAGACGAAGAGATGGACAGGGGGGTTGCAGAGGGAAACCTCCGAGCAAAGTCACAGTCGTCCTCACGACCTTCCAAGTCACTTACACGCTCAGAGAACGGCAGATAAGAGATGGGGCGAAAAACGACCGAGTCGCGAGAATCGAATGCGAGAAAAGAGAAAGGCTGGAGAGAAACAGATCGCGCGGGGGGGGGAAAAAGAAAGAGAGAGGGAGGGAGAGAGAGAGAGAGAGGGCGGGAGGCAGGGAGGAGAGACAGAGATAGTTAGCTGGCAACCCACTTAGACAAGAGGAAGAGGCGACAGCCTCAGCAGTCAGGGACTGCGACTACGGCTGCGACGACGATCACGGACAGGACTGCCGTTCAGCAATGGTGACACGCGTCTATCTCTGCGTATGGGCGGAGAACGACTGAAGCTGCGATTCCGACGAGGTGGTGGAGGGGAGAGGCTCCTTCTCCTTACTGGACTCAGACCGCGTCGAGGAGGACTGCGATCCCTATCAAAGCCATTTCCATTGAAGTCCTCTCGAGGAACATCTACTCGCATAGGAGGACTGCGGCTCCTGCTTCGACTCCTTACGAGACTGGCACTTCTGCTGTGTCGCCTCCTCCCAAAGCTTGGACTTCTACTCGGTTTTCGTCTCTCGAAAATCGGACTTCTACCCCTAAATCCGACCCCTCCACCAAAAGCTGCAGGGGGGGCACCCATGGCGGCGGCGCCGCCGCCAAGAGGCGGACCACCTCCGTATCGACCGTAGCTGGGACTTCGAGACCGCCGTCTTCTTCCAGCCCCTCCATAGCTCGGACTACGTCGATATTTCGGACTCCGACTACGGCCTCGACCCCCTCCTCCCCCTCCTATTCCTCCTCTGCCATCTCCTCCGATCCGCAGCCTGCACTCCCTCGCAAAATGCCCCGGTTCCCCGCACTCGTAACATCTCATGTCATCACCCCCCCTTCCTCTTGGCCCCCCCCCTCCCCCCCCCGAGCTCCTGGATAGCTCTACTCTCCATCCGTTTTTGTTATCCAGCGCCCGTATCGCATCATCCGCATCTCGCGGGTCATCGAACTCTATAAATGCAAATCCAGGGGGTTTTCGAGCCACCCACACACTCCTCAGCACACCGAAACTTCGAAACTCGTCTTCAAGCTCTCTTTCCGTTACTCGCTGGTCTAAATTTCCCACGTACACGCGCGACATCTTCTTCCTTGCCCCAGCTCTGCCTCGCGAGCTCCTCTCTCCTTCCTCCTTTCCGAGCAGCCAATGGTTGATACTGACCCCTCGAAAAAACTTACTTACTTTGCCCCTCCTTTCCGATCCCGCTTCTCACCAACCGACTAATCATGCGCCTGACGCCGGACAATCAACGGCAATCGCCGCCACCCTACCTCGCGACACTTCACTTTCAGAAGTGCCTTCTCTCGCCTCCGTTCAAACCCGACCCGCATTCCACCACAGCGCGCGCATGCTTCCCAATCTCCCTTCCGCCGTGCTGTATTCGCCACTGCTTTCACGAAGAGCGTAATCCTTTTCGGTGGCGGACGCAACCCCGGGAAACAACTGCTGTACGTCTTATCGCATAGAAGTTCTCTTTTCCGCTTCGTTTCGTTTCGCCCCCCTGCATCGCGGTACAAGGTGATCTTGTCTTGCTCCTCTGCAGCGTCGTCCGGCCTCGTGCGATAGGGTATGCGAGCTGCCAACGTGCCAGCGCGTTGGGCGAATTATGCAAATTGCATGCGCGAGGTTCCGGGTTCAAGTCCAGCATCCGGGGTAGTTGAGTCCAGTTTCTCCGATTCACTCTTTTTTTTTTTTTTTGGACCATTTCTCGATTTATGCGTGTCATCCTTGCGCAGGGGCCTTGCTAATCTTCTCCGTATCCTTCCCGAAGGACTCCGCTTCACTTTTGACACAAGCAGGCACGCTCCCCGTGGATGTGTCCTGGACATGAAGACCACACATACTTGGACATAAGGCCCACATCGTGGGGAGGTTGTGTAAGCCCGGGGCTTTAGTAGCTCAGGGATACACCCGGCTAACGGCCACGAGCAGTCTAGGGCAAGGGCCACGGGCAGCCCCAAGCGTGCGACAGGCAACCTCACTCCTTCAAAAAAACGTACGTTGTATACGAATACAACGTGCACCCACGTACGGGGCACGTGCACCAACGTACCGGGCGCGTTGGTGCACATTGTATATCTCGAATACTCTAAAGGAAATAGCGGGTCTCGCGTGATCGTCCCATGCAAGACACACTGCCAGTGTTGGGAAAGTAAAAAATGGGCCCAGGGCCCGTGCACAGAGGTACCGGGCAGGCGAATCTCGCGTGATCGTCCCATGCAAGACACGCTGCCAGTGTTGGGAAAGTAAAAAATGGGCCCAGGGCCTGTGCACAGAGGTACCGAGCAGGCGAACCAGTGCGGAGGCCGAACGGGGCCGGCAGGGAGCGGGCGGCAGCGAAACGGTGCAACGCGGGGCAGGCAGGGAGCGGGCAGCAGCGAAACGGTGCAGAGGCCCAACGGGGCAGGCAGTTGGCGGATGGCGGATGGCGGTCGGGCGCAGTTGGAAACCGTGCACAAAGCGAGCAGCACGAGGCGGCTAATGCGCACGGGGTGGAGAGAGAGAGAGAGAGAGAGAGAGAGAGAGACGCGGTTGCAGCGCGAGGCGGATGATGCGCACGGGGTAGAGAGAGAGAGAGAGAGGGAGATTTTTTGATAGTTTATTCAAATTTATGTCGTGTTTATATTTACATTTTTATTTTTTTTTCGGATTTGTTTTCATATTCTTGCCAGCGGAGGAAAGGACACCGTCGTTTCGGGCAAGACCCGTGACAAGTCCTTCCTGTAGCCATCCCCTGGCGAAAAGCCACGGATGGGTGGCTGGTCTTGGTGCACGTGTACCTTTCCCACGCGGCGCCCTATCCTCGCGGACCTAACCGTAGGGGTGGCCAGCCACCACGACCCCAAGTCCCAGATGGCTGACGTGGTGGGACGGTGGGGAGAAAAGACAGACGTTGAAGGCGTGGCCAAAGGGTGCGTCGTCGCCACCATTGTCTGTCTGTCTGTCTGTCTCTCTCTTTCTCTCTCTCTCTCTCTCTCTCTCTCTCTCTCTCTCTCTCTCTCTCTCTCTCTCTCTCTCTCTCTCTC